AAAGTTGCGAGGATGGAGGTGTGCCAGGCTCTTGACAACCTGATCACATCCACAGCTTTTCCTATTGTGCGTGAACCATATCTAGACTCTGAAGAGGCTCTACACGCAGTGTCCCTGAGCTTTTTGTCTCTGCTTGGGTACCATAGCTTTCTCTTCTCTCCTTCCAAAACTTGCTCATGTTTTAAGAATCATTTGATAGCTCTATTAGAAATTTCTCTAGTGCCATTAAGCAGTGCTGTCTACTAAGATATCGGATAAGACACGGATTAATATGAATGTAGCGCCAAGTACTGTACTAGGAGATGAAGACATCAGCAAATCCCTGCCCCACCTCCCAGAAATTATAAACGATGTGATTTTAGCACATCGTGCTACAAATCAACGTCTTTTTGAATAGTCCTTTCTTTGAAGTTCTACAGTTTGTTTTTATGATTACACTAGTATAGAATACAGTCACACAATAAATAATAAATCAAAAGTTTTTGTCAAAGGCAAATTCAGGTTAATTCAGTTTGATAAACATCAGAACATTTAGACTATTTCAGTCCGGCATGTATATTTGGGTATAATATTAAAGTGGAAACCAGAAAAAATAATGAATGACAGACTTTATAAAAGTGAGTTGCTGACAGTGTATCTACATCTGAGTATATGTTGCATTAGTTCTAAATCTGAAGAGAAGATAAAAAATAGTCCCAGCACTCTAAACAACCTTTTCCTAGCTCTGACATCAAACCACATGCCAATTCTACTTTCACTTCCCTGGGATGAAATGTTCCTAGTATTTTATCTTTAAATGAAAGACATAGTCATCTTTGTAAGTGACAATACAAACCAAATTGATTTTGTATGGGGTTGCAATTATGACTTCTTTTGTTGTTTCCACTATCATTCTGATAATATTTCTAGGTAAAATCAGAATGTAAAAATGTGAATACCTAAAATTCTTCATGTATGTCTCCTCACAGAGTATATTGAGTTGAAAAGTTAGGGAAACACTCAAGTTTCTCTCAAAAGGAGAATTTTGAAGACTGGTTAATTTTATATTTAATATTTGCTTTCCTGGTGTTCAGATTTATTTTACTTCAGACTTTATTTTATCTGAAAAACTTTTTCAAATTTGCCTTAAAACTACTTAGCACATTTTTATTAACTTATCCAAGATAATCAGAATGCTTCTACTTGTGCAGAAGCAAATATATAGACACAGAATACATTTCTTCTTTTATGAAACTAAAATACTTGTTTTCTCCTCATTCCAATAGCAAATATTGCATAATTTCACCATATGGATTATTTATCCTCACAGTGCATATCTGTGTTTGAAAATTGTAAATGTTTCTAAATTATTATCTCTTCGCTCACTTATGTTTTTTCTCAGTTTCTTTTGCTGGTTTCCTTTCATCTTCCCAAACCCTAAACATGAGAACACCACAGCCTGTCTTCAGATTGCCTCTCTAGCCCTACATATTTGGTGAGCTCATTAAATCTCATAGTTTTAATCTACATACTCATCTACATACTCATGACACACATGTTTTATATCTCCTGCCTAGATTTTTGCTGAAACTCCATTCACAATTGCTGCCTATTCAACATATTTACTTGACACTAAAAGGTCTCTCAAAGTTAACATATCTAAATTGAAACTTCTGATTTTTACCCTTCCCCAAACTTAACTATTACGTGATTTTTCTTATCAAAAAAACTATGCTTTGACATTATAAAGTAGCAAATTACCCCCAACAGATCTTATTGGAAATTATAAAATTGAGATTACCGTGAATAAACATGCAAAAAAAACGAGTATACACACTTTACAGACCTAGAAGAGAATAGAGTTGAGAGCTGTTAAGCTAATAAAAATTCTTGTTATAGCCAGGATGGCTATGAAACCTTGATGCTATACTTCCTGAAGCTTGATCTGCTTTATGTTAGAAGCATGGGGACATGGCTGCTAAGATGATTTCCTTTGCTTCTTCAACTCCCCAAGTGCATTTTTTAAAAAAAAAAAAAAGACTTATATTTTTTTATTTATTTATGAATGCAAGAACTAGGGTAGAGGCCAGAGGTGGGAGGGAGGAAGGATTCACTGGAGACAGAGTGGGGGAAGAATAGGCATTTCTATGGAAATACACTGCTGAGGGCAGATGAGGAGAGGTCTGCTGCGCCATGTGGATCAGCTCCATGGCTGAGGCTCAAACTCATGCCACAGTGGCTGGCAATAGCTTGATAGTACTGAGAATTTAACCCCTGTGCCACTAGGGAGGTCCCTCAAGCATATTTTTAACAGCAGTATTTCCTTAAGTAAGTATTTTTTTTATTATTAAATGATTCATGAATCTGGCAGCATCCCATCTAGTAAATTGAAAAGGCCTGCAAAGAACTATACAAAATGCAAAGTTTTTATAGTCAAAAGTAGGCAGAGCAAGGTTATTAGCAAAGGAAAAGAGACATTATTTCAGGCAAAACACCTCCCTTAAGGGAAAGCAAGTAAGCCTTATCTTACAGATTATCTCACATATGCTGACCAGGAAACTCCAGAATTTTCCGTTTAAATTTCCCCTGTTGGGAGCGGCTGAAATTGTAATTAGTTTAAGCTATGTCTTAGTGGGACTTGGCATGACCACTCCATTTTGGGCCTGTTTTTATTTTACAGTCATTTCGCAAATATTAGAAACAAACTGTCTGCAAACAAAGTGTTTAATAAGCATTACAAATAAACTGTTTCCCCAAGTATATTGGGGAAAATGCCAAATTTAATATAATGAAGTATAATTCTGTGCCACCAAGTGAGAAGAAAATATGACACAATGTTAAAAGCATAGAGTTTTTGATCCATACTGCCCAGGAATGAAATCCTGCCCCTGTGGTTTACTAGCTATTTGATGTTGGGTAGTTATTTAACCTTTGCACATTCAGTCCCAATTTTAGAATTTAAAACTTTAATAGAAATTGCTCTGGACTTACAACTTCCTTTCATTTTGTGCTGCTTCCTACCAGACATTGCTCAGGGCCCACTCCACACACCATCTCTCAACCTGCATGGTTAGTGCACACCACCAAGGGCGAGTTTCCAAACATGAAACAGGTAAGGGGAGCAACAGTGATCACAAGGCAAGAAGGTTGGTATTGACACATCTATTATTCAAAGATGGTTCTGTTCCCATCAGGTAGTTTCAAACTTTGATGAAATAGGATACCAGTTACTAGTTTTTAAGTCAACTGTAAAGGTAGACTTCTAGCATTGTCCATTTAAACAGAAAGAGAAGACATGAGAATTGTAGGGGGTGGGGTTACTCAGGGAACACATAAAGGGGATTTCCAAATATGCGGGTTCTGGGAAGCCTTCCTGGAAGAAATAGCATCATCTTTTTATCTTCCAAACAGGTATACTGTATGGTTTATAGTAGGTACTGAAGTTTTTGGACTGATGGCTACACACACACACACACACACACACACACACACACACACAATCATGTCCTAAGCAATCATGTCCTTCAAAGAATTTACTTGGACATTTTAAATTGCAATCTGGCACTATAACCACTTAGTTTACAGGCCTATTAAATAGGAAATGCAGTGACTGGGCTAAGAAGGTTCAGTCCTGCAGTCTGTATTTTGGCCATCTGACCACTAAGAATGGCCTCTGCAGTGGTGGTCCTTTGGTGCATATTGCATACCCATTATTATCTTCACAGTCTGTGCCATTCTAAAAGCTCATCAACACACTTCTTCCAGAAGCTTCCTTTTCACCAATTTTCCATTATGATTCCTTCCAAGGCCTTACCATCAAACTAAAACAATTGAAACTACCCATGAATTAATAGTCACTTATTTCTGTCTATTTTCACTCTCCAGACTAAGGGGACAATCAAAAGTGGAAGTTCTGACCATTTGGAGGATTTTCCTTCTTTGCTGTCTGGGTTTGTCTTTGAGTGATGCTATAGATACAGCTCATGTTCAGGTGGTGCTGGCTGGCATAGTGTGAGGATCCACCTATAAGCTAGGCTCACGGTTTTTCTTTTCCGGTCAGCTAGTTGTAAGGACATTCCCAGGATTCCATTTTACAGGTTATATGCTGAAATCACCACTGGTACCAATTCTATTATGTTTGCAGTTCAGTCAGAAGTTAGAACCAGAGTCCTTTGAATGGGGAATATTTATTAACCAAGGGCTGAAACTAGGAAGAATTATTTAGTGAGAGTCAGAAAAACAATTCTAAATGAAATGGAAATACAAGGTATAAAATGTAAATACTATCCTTGAACTGAGAAAAAATCCCAAGGGCAAGCTTCCTTCCCTTTCAGGGCTTAAATCCAGATGTCTTTGGGCAAGTAACAACTTGAATTCCTGAATGGTTGAAAAATCAGTGAAGGACCTCATTGATGACACTAGGAAATCTTCCCTTAGGAAGCACTGTAATATAAAACGTATGAGGGCCTCCCTGGTGGCATAGGGGTTCAAGTCTCAGCACTTTCACTTTGACAGCCTGAGTTCAATGCCTGTCCAGGGAGGTGACCCACATATGGCACAACAGACCTCTCCCGTCTCACCTCTGCTCCCGTTAGCAGTATATTTCAGTGGGTCAGGCTGTTCTGCTCCTTACACACTTTCTGGTGAATCCTCTCACCCCCTGAACCTGTGTTCTATATCCCAGTTCTATGCATAAATAAATAAATATATCTTAAAAACATAAAACCTATTAGATGACAGGAGAAACTGTGGTACACTGTTCAAATCAAGACCTTGAGGAGTCCCCTCTTCAGGAGTTTGGCGCAGCTCAGTGTTGCTGTGTAAGGCACAGGCCAGGCGACAGCTGACCTCTAGTGACACTGGTGTCTGTCTTTGCCCGGAGCTGAGGAGAGTATATGTGGCATCACAACTTGGCCTGGGGGCAAGTTCATGATATTTGGGTCTCTCCATGTGCCACCATTTCTGTGCAAGGTTTGATATTGGGTCAAATACCATTAACAAAAATTATCTGTGTCCTGCAGGAAACTTATGGACAACGCAGAGAAACAACTCTTCACAGGATTCTGGTACAAGTCACAACAGAAAGAGAAAGAGGAAAACCCTTTCTCCTCCAGTGACCCTGCAGCTCCCCGCTGATGAGATTAAGCCAAGGAATAAGTGAGAAACATTGACAAGACACAACTCCATTATCACAGAACAGGCAACAGAGTCAGTGTGGAACAAAGTGCAAAATATTAACTGTCATTGCAGATAATTTGTTCTCTTTTATGTAATTTGTAGTTAGTTTTATTCTTTTTCAATGTGTTGAATAGGGGGCCTCCCTGGTGGCATAAGGGGTTAAGTCTCAGGACTATGAAGCTATCTGCAGCCACTGCTGCATGAGTTAGATCCCCTACAAGGGAGCTATAGCAGACCTCTCTGTTTCACTTGCTGCTCCCCTCAGCAGTGTATTTCAGTAGATCCACCTGTTCTGCTCCCCACTCTCTGGTGAATCCTTTCGCCCTTCTGTACCTTTGGCCCACAACCCAGCTCTTGTATGCATAAATGAATAAATCTTTTTTTTTTTTTAAGATTTATTTATTTGTACATACAGAACTGGGGTACAGGCCAGAGGCTCAGGGGCGGTGAGAGGCTTCACCAGAGACAGAGTGGGGAGCAGAACAGGCAGATCAACGAAGTTCACTGCTGAGGGGAGCAGCGGGCGGGTCAGGAGAGGTCTGCCACGCCATGTGGTCACCTCCGGGGCAGGCGGGAATCGAACTCATGCAGAAATGGCTTTAGCTTCTCAGTGCAGTGCTTTAACCCGCTGCGCCACCAGGGAGGGCCCATAAATGAATAAATCTTAAAAAAGAAAAAGAAAAACAAAAAACAGGGTTGGCCCAAAGCAAGACAGCTGAGCTCCAAAAGCTTTTCAGAAGTCTAAGGCACATTCTGGTGGAGACCCACTGAAAATGGACAGAAGGGGCCAGGCAAGTCTGGAAGGAAAGGAGAAAAATTAAAACCAAATCAAGATAAAGGCTGCCACTGTCAGTCTCACCACAGGTCTCTCATCTACATGTCTTTCAAGTTTCTCCTACAAGTCCAAAGCCAAGCAAGCAAGCAAGCACAGCTCTTCATGTGTCTCTTCTCTTCTTAAGTCTTCTAGAGTTTCTCCTCCCTGTTCAACTCCACCCACTTACAGGGTATGACAGGGAACCTGAAATTCCCCTTTTCCTGGGGATTACCTTTACAAGGTTCCACATGGGAAAGATAAACCCCTCAATGGACAGAAGAGGCACGTTGAGGTCTGCTGGGCTATGTGGGTTAACTCCCTGGTCAGGGATAGAATTTGTGCGGCAATAGCCGCTGGTAACTTCAAAGTGCTGAGACTTAACGCTTTGAGCCACCAAGGATGCCTCAGGGCCAGCCCTGTTTTGCTGGACATTTATTCATTAATAGGTGGGTAACCTTGGATGATTAATTGGAAACTATTTCAACTATATTCTTTTTCTCCTTTTTATTGCACATCATAGCATTTAAGTGGTTTTTTTCTACTGAAAGTCTTATGCACTAGAGGGTATTTTGTTGATGCAATGGATGGCAGAACCCATTTAAAGCAGCAGTTTGGGGGTCGCAGGGTACCCCTCCTTCTGCCCTGTAACAGCCTGACATAATCCAAAAGAGTTTTATTATTGAGTGAATCTTTTGCATTTTACACTTCCATTATTCCTTCCTGATCATTCAGACTTTTAGATTATTCAGGCCAATCCTCCCATTCCACCCTGAGGGCAGTCAGCATATCTGCACAAATGTTTAGTCTCATTCTCTTATGATTACTTTGTTTCTTGCACCTAGAAATAAATTACTTTCTAACAAGCTCAATCATGCATTTAAAGGTTGTTGTAATAGTTGGTCAAGGTTTGTAGTGGGAGGATTGTAGAATTATCTATTCTACAAACTTCAGGTTACAAGAATTCCCAAATATCCTTATAAATCTTCTTTTTTAAAAGATAAAATATATAACACTTGTTTCACTGAGCAGTAAATTAGTTATGCTTACACTTAATTTGGGCAAGATACTAAACATCTCTGCTTTCCATTTCTTCCATCTGGGAATGGCAGTAATAGCATCTACATATAAGGTATTTGCAAGATTTACATGAGTACATAAGTCCATAAATGTACTTACAAAATTATCTGATTCAAATTCAGCACCAATTAGCTATTCCCAATAACATTATTGATGAGTCAGTGGAAATAATGATGTTCTCTGGGCCTATAACAAATTCTGAAACACTATAAAGTTTTAAAGCAAAATATTACTACTTTTCCACACTTATGAAACCAGCAAGCCTTTGATTTGCTATGGGATTCTGGCAAGGATCAAATATTTAGGCATGGGACATCAGAATGGCCTGAAGAGTTCATTATGAAACAGTTACTATAATATATATTTTTAAAGATTTATTTATTTATGCATACAGAACTGGGATACAGGCCAGAGGTGCAGGGGTGGTGAGAGGATTCACCAGAGACAGAGTGGGGAGCAGAACAGGCTGACTGACGAAGTACACTGCTGAGGGGAGCAGCAGACGGGTCAGGAAGATCTGCCTCGCCATGTGGGTCTCCTCAGGGCTGGGGATCAAACTCATGCTGAAGTGGCTTTTAGCTTCTTAGTGCTGTGCTTTAACCTGTTATGCCACCAGGGAGGGCCAGTACTATAATATTTTAAAAATCATTAAATTGAATATGCCTTCAGCATACCATATGCTCATGGAAATGGAATATACGAAAATGGACCGACCCCAAAGAATTTTCTCTCCAAGTAGGAGTGATCATAGGCAGTACCACCTGAACAATTCCCTGCAGGGGAAAACTTTCAAAACCATTTTGCAGATGGTCCTTTATCATATGCTGGGATCATCTAGAAGAATACTGAAGAAGGAAAGGGGCATGAAAAAGAGAAATCCTCTCCAGAGTACATATCTCTCTGCGCACTATGCAGGAGGGATAGAATAGGATGAAAACTCTACATTGTCACACAGACAAGGGCTAGAGATTTGAGCTGATGTGATTGAGAAGAAACACCTAGGGGTAGCACCTGTGGTTAAGCAGGTTTGGGACAGTGTATATTATGGGCTTCTTGCATGGTCCTAGAATAAACGCACATTTGTATTCCATGGCAATGCTTTTCCAAAAGCCCACCTGGTGAATTTATATGATCAAATAGTAAGTTCTATTAGAATAATTGTTCTATAGATGCTAATGCTATTGCTCTCCCAGTTCTTGTTCCATGACCTCTCATGTCAAGCAGTCATGGTGTCCCTATACTCCGTGTGTTCATGGTTTGAATACACCCTGAATAGACTAGACACAACTTTTCTTGGAGGTGGAGAAGTTTACCTCCTGTACAGATAATCAAGGAAGAAGAATGTGAATATCCCACAGACTTCCTCTCTGGGTAAGAGCTGGAAGGGGCGGGATGGGGGGGTCCTCTCTGGTGGTGCAACAGAAGTCTTAGCACTATCAAGCTATCACCAGCCACTACAGCATGAGTTTGAACCCTGGCCAGAGAGTTGACCCACATGGTGCAGCAGGACTCTCCTGTCTTGCCCCCTGCTCCCCTGAGCAGTGTATTTCAGTCCATTCACCTGTTCTGCACCTCATTCTGTCTCTGGTGAATCCTCTCACTCCCTACACCTCTGGCCTGCATCCCTGCTCTTGTATGTCTTAATAAAAAGTTTAAAATTTTTTTAAAAAAGGGCTAGAAAGGTTTTGTTTGTTTGTTTGTTTGTTTGTTTTTTGTAAAGGACAGTAAAGAGAAGCTAAGTAAGTCTTGGTTGGATGTTGGGGATATTTGTCAGTACTACTCATCTGAATATGAGCAGAAATAGTGCCTTCTTCTCCAAACACCTCCTGTTCAAAAAATGGCAATTCAATTCCTCCCCTGGGGAGTGGGAGGGGCTTAGTATGTTAATGAGGCTGGTGTGAATTTCTGGTCCAGAAGGAAGCAAGTATGGATGCCATGGATTCTTGATGGACTAAGGGGCTGTTTAAACAGAATGGGGTTGGTTGCAAACTGGTTATCAAAATAAATTGTTTTATTAGACATTTTTACCCCTGAGTAAATCAAACTGGGAGTGGGGGTGGGAGAGTTTGTCAATGACATCACTGTCCTAGAGCAAATCAGAGGGGACTCAAAGTGCCCTTAAGGAGTTCATTTAACATTAATTGCTCAAAGAGTATGCTTTCAGTAAATCAGCCTAATACCCTAACCTCCTGCTGAGAGTCAACAATTGGGGGCCTTAATTAACTCTTTGCTTGCTGGATTCTGAGGCCTACAATTAAAGGCCTTAATTATTTGTTTCCTGGTTCTTTAAGGTCCTGGCTGGACAACTATGGTGGAAGGGATATGTGTCTGCATTGACTCAACAACATGGACTTTCCTCCCTTTTAAGGAGAACTGGTTCTCACAAGGCTAAGAGTTCAACTTGCTAAAGCAGCAACTGTCAGGGGCCTGCTTGCATTATGATCTGGAGGAACATGTAGTTTATCCTGAGACAGGCAGTCTGATAAGCACCCTGCAGGCTTCTACTGGCCAGAGACCCCAGACCAAATTCAATGACGGAGAAAACATCTGTTGACCAAGAAGAAAGACAATAATGAGAAAAAAACGACAGCTAGAAATGAAGCAAGAGATTTCAGCAATGCCTGTGGAAGCCAGAAGCCAGCAGTCCACCTAGACAGAATACATAAAGTAGCCTAAGAAACTACCTCATCAGTATCTCACTAAAAACCCCTTCCCCTGTGGGAGTTGTAATCTGCTCACCTTCCCTTGCTACATTCCTAACTTCTCTACATCACTCTGAGTTTTTTACTGACAATCCTTACTCTTCATTCTTTGAAGTTTAACCTTCTAAGAACTCATTTTGGGCAGATTGTGAACCTTCTGGTGTTTCAATACTTTGTGGAAAAGACACACTGGGTTTGTTCTTCTGCTTAGCAAACTTCTTCCAGCATGACCATCCATGAACTTACTAACTGGTTTATTTCCCATCATATTTTATACACAACATTATAAAAGGACAGTTAAAACATGTTCCAGAAAAAGGCACAAAGCCATTGGGCAATGCCTTTAGGGTGACATACCTTAGCAAGAATTCCACTAAAGGGCACCTTTAGACTTGGTTTTAGTCTCAGAAGGTCCCACTGGGAATGTGTGGTAGTGG